TCGTTAACGATAAATATTATTCCATTAGTAAATAAACAAATCACTCGGACGTTATTTTCGCGATACGATACGAAAATTTTTTTTTTTTTTTTTTTTTTTTTTGACAAATTAAAACGGTTTTGACTAAAAAAAAAAAAAAAAAAAAACCATCGATTTTTTATAATCCAAAGTCTTTCGAACAACAGCAAAAACAACAAAAACAACAACAGCAATAATAATAATAATAAAAATAAAAATAAAAAATTTACAGACTCGGTGGTGCTTTAATTAAACGAACCAAGTTTTTTTCTCTCTCTTTCTCTCTCTCTCTCTCTCTCTCTCGCACACACACGCACACACAACCTCTAAATATCGTTTAGAAAACAAAATTAAAAAATAAAATGAAATGAAATAAAAAATGGATGAGAGGATGAATGTCGTAGGATGGAAGAGAAGAGAGAAAAACGAGAAAGGAAAAAAAGGTAATTTTCACAGTCATCACGCCTTAACACTTTCCTTCCTTCTCGCTCCCGCAATAATTTAATGAAAACCCCCTCCCCCCTCTTTCCTCCCCTACAAACCTCCCCGACCAGCCAACAAAAAAAAAACATTTTCCGACATGATTCGCGTTAAAAAAAATAAAAAATAATAATAATAATAAAAAAATAAAATTGATTATCACGTAGTAAAGAATTATTATATTTCACGTATACATGAGCGTAATATTACGTCACGAATTTTGTAAAACTATCATTATCGCGACTCGTTTTTTTTTTTTTTTTTTTTTTTTTTGCTAGTAATAAGAGGACAAACAGCAGCAAAATAGAAATTTAATTGCATTTAAATGCAATGCAACAACAACAACAACAACAACATTGTTATGTAATCGATCACATATCGTTTGTGGCATTTGCATTCCATCCCCACTACTACTACCACTACTAACACAAAGGTTTTACGTTACTCTAATATTTTTCCCTTTTCCCTTTTTTTTTTTTGCTCCTCTTATGAATTTTTTTTTTTTTTTTTAAATCGGATTTGTTTATATTCAACGTATTATTATTATTATTATTATCAATAAATTTACCCTATCACCCCAACCACCACCACCATCATCATCATCATCACAATCCTTTCCGTTTACAAAATTTACAAGAAAAAAAAAATAATAATAATAATAATAATAAGGGGAAAAACGATGACGTTTTGTTAAATTCCCACAAAAATATTTTGTTCTATGTGTAATATTAATAATAATAATAATAATAATAATTACATATCGAACGCATAATTCGAAGTTTTTATATATATAAAACGACCATTAAACGAATCGACACCGAATTTGTTGAAAAAGACGATTAAAAATTATTATTATTATTACTATTAGCGTGTAGGGGACCCGACGTGAAATATAATTAAAATTAATCACGTGATAAATTAAAAAATTTAAATAAATAAAAATAAATAAAACTTACCCTTTATAAAATGATTCCATCCAGGTAAATAAATTCATGATGATGATGATGATTGCGACGACGACGTGAACGACGACGACGACGACGACGATTACGCGGATAATAACAATCAAACATTAACAACACATTTAAACGATAAAAAACTACTAATAATAATAATACTAATAATGATAACTTCTCGTTAGAAAATAATAATAATGCGAACGCGTTCACCGCGAAAATTATTTAGTTTTAAATAAAATGCTTTCGGTTCGGCAAAAAGTCAGCAACTGGCTGACTGGCTGCCTGGCATCCTTCTCACATCGACTTTTCCGACTCGAGTTTTTATTTTTTGCGTCTCTCTCTCTCTCTCTTTCTCTCTCTCACTCTTATCCTTATGATTTTTCATGCATGTTTCCTTTATTTAATTTATTTCCTATTTTTTTTTTTTTTTTCATCCAATGTTTTCCTTTTTTTCTCTTCATAACTTTTACCTAAAAACAAAACACAAAAAAAATAAATAAACGTTTTTTTTTTTTTTAACTCATCAATTTTTTTGTGACCCCCCTTTTTTCCCACCCCCACCCCCTCTCCCCACCACATTTCCGTAAAGGAAATTATTTTTACCGTATGAAACATTGTAGCCAACTATCGAAAATTAAATTATATATATATATATATATATATATATATATATATATATATATATATATATATATATATATATATATATATATATATATATATATACATCGTAACACGTTTATATTAATATTTTATTTTTCACACGAAATGAATTATTAATTATGTTAAGTTGTAAGGGGGGGGGGGGGAAATTCGTTAAATTTAACACTTAATAAATAATTTTAAAAAATGTTTTCCAAAAAATATTGTGGGGGCGAGGGGCGGGCGGGGGGTAATAAATCGATGATAAAAAAACATTAAATCAAAAAAAAAAAAAAAAAAAAAAAAATCAAAATGATAAATAGTTTCAAAATTTTCTTTTTAAATTTATTATTTTTACATTGAAATAAAAAAAATATTTTTTTTTTTTTTTTTTTTATAAAAGATTACTTTTAAACTTAAAGGGTAATAAAAAATAAGGAAAACATTTTTTTTTTTATCAATTGTTTTTTTTAAATTCTTTTTATTTTCCCGCCAAAAAATGTTTTTTTCTTTTTATTACTCTTTGTTGCATCACCTTCACCATCTTCCTTCCACCAATACATTATGAATTCGATATAATTTATTATTATTATTGAAGCATTTCCGGTTACTACTTATTACTACCACTACCACTACTAATTCAATATGATGTTATCATAAACATTTGTAACGGAAAATATAAAATTTCGTGTTCGTGTTTGTTTGCACCGGAAATGACATAGGTAAAATTTTGCACATTTGGATAAATAAATTTTTTTTTTTTTTTATTTTCTATGTCATTGATTTATTACATCCCGAAGGATGAATGGCGTACGGCTTATACGATGAGAAGTCAAATCCCAAAATGGGAAAACATTAAGTAATAATAATAATAATAAAACATTACCGTTATAAAATCCAAAAAGGAAAATAATTTTCTTCTTCCACTTTCTTTTTTCTTTAGACTTCATCTTAAACATTTTGTCTTGAATTATTTTCATGACTGCCATAGAAAAATCTAAAATCAATTCATTAAATTATTAATTGTGAAGCCATATTGTTTGTAATAATAATAATGATAATCATTTTAATATAAATTAAAAATCACTATGAATAATTATAAGAAGGAATAAAAAGGTCAAAGGGGGGGGGGTTTAAATTGAAATTGTATTTAAAAAGGAAAAATAAGGGGGAAAGGGGAAAAAGGAAATTTTTTTTTATTACCAAAAAAGGAAAAAAGGTTGGCAACGTTGAAAATAACACAATAATAAAAAAAAAAAAACTTGAAACAATTAAAATAAAAGCTTTTCTTTTGTATTTTCCACCCACATACTTTTCTTTTTTTTTTTTTTTTTTTTCGAAGTTTTTAAGAAAGTTTATTGTTTTTTAACATTTTTCTCTTATATAAAAAACTAAACTCTTTTTGTTTAAAGTGGCAGAAGATAAATTATTAAAAAAAAAAAAAGGAAATATTTATATTTTAAATAAATCAATGAGATATTATGATATGATGGATTATTGTTAATAATTAATTAATAATTTTACTTTACCTTTTTTATTTTTTATTTTTTGTAGAATTAGATGCTTGAAGGTAACAAGAACAGAATAAAACAAAACTTTTAACGGTTTCATCTTTACTGTAAGTGACAGGAACTCCTCTTCATGTAAAAACAACAACAACAACAACAACAGCAACAGAAACAAGAACCTTTTCATAAAATATTATATAATTTTAATGATAATTTTCTTCTTGTTTCAATTCAAGTATTATTATTTAACCTCAATTAATTTTAAATCTGAAAATAGAAAAACGTTAAAAAACAATTTAATCATAACAAAATGATTTTGATGTTTAAAAAAAAAAAAATTTTTTTTCATTATTTTCTTGAGACTATTTTTATTATTATTATTATTATTATTATTATTATTATTATTATTATTATTATTAAATAATATTTGTGTTGTGTTTAAATAATAATAATAATAATAACATAACACCGTTATGGTTAAAAAATAATTAAATAATTTTTTAAATGTTAAAAATTTAATTTAATTACTTAAGTTGTTTTATTCAAGAAACAAAACATTTATTATCCCTCTGGCGTCCGGTAAACTTTCTTTTTTTTTTCTTTTTTTTTTTTTTTTTTTGTTTTCTTTAATCAAATTTTACATTTTAATTTATAAAGTTTTCCGTCTTTTGAGAAAAATTTTTAATCTTTTTATATATATATAAAACAAGTCAAAATAATTTCAAGTTTTGCCAAATAAAAAAAAAAAAAATGGCGTCGTCGTCATTTTCTCTGAATTTTTTTTCTTAAATTAAATTTTAATTTTGTCGTTTCATAAAACTAATGGTGATAAAATCAAATCGTTCATTGTAAACAAACAAACAAACAAACAAACAAACAAAAACAATTTTTTTTTACCTTTTAATTAAATTAAATTAAATTAAATTAAAATTTTTTCTTCCTTTTTTTTTTTTTTTTAAATGGATAACTTTTCAACTGTTATTTCGTTATTTTGAATTGAGGAATTGAGTCAGTCACAGCAACGCCATCTCTGTGAAATTTTATAAACTAAAATAAAAATTTATTACGAACGATAATAATAATAATTTTAAGCTTGGTTTCGTTAATGTACGATAAATATTTTTAAAACTGATTTTAAAAAAAAAACTGAATTAAAATCTTAGGGGGGAAAAAAAAAATTTAATAAAAAAGCAATTTAGAGCATTTAAAATTTGGCAAGAATGATTAATTTCAATCGAGGGAAATTTGTCGCGAAAACAACAAAACAAAAAATCCGGATCATCGATTATTTAAATAACTTGTCTTTCTATTGGTCCACGTTATCCGCCTGTTAAAAAATGTTTACAATTAGTTTAATGCCGGTATTAAAATGATAAGACGGTTTTTTTAAAAAATGAAATGGTTTCTGGGAATTTTTTTCTTATTGTTACCGATATCCACTTTACGAGTGGTATTAGCTGATTCCGACCCGAAGAAAACCGATGTGAATAATCAAAAACTACCACCTTGTCAAGCTTGCAAAGTATTAGTTAAATCTTTTCAACATGGAATGGAAAAAACATCTAGGGGAAAATTCGAGGGAGGTGACGCCGATTGGGAAGAAAAAAAATTAAAAACCTACGCCTCGAGCGAAGTGCGTTTCGTCGAAATACAAGAAAATATATGCAATGAAATCGACAAGGGAAAATTTCAATGTCAGGGTTTGGCCGAAGAAAACGAAGGATTATTCGAAGACTGGTGGAAAAATCAAGATAAATATGGGGATTTACACGAATGGCTGTGCATTGAAAAATTAAAAGTTTGCTGTCCCGACCTTCACTACGGTGCAAACTGCACTCCGTGTCAAGGATTCCCAAATAATGTTTGTAATAATAATGGTAAATGTAAAGGGTCGGGAACCAGAAAAGGCAACGGTCAGTGCAGTTGCAACGTCGGTTACGAGGGTACTCTTTGTGATAAATGCTCTGATAAACATTATGTGTCTTATAAAGATGAAACCAAAATGTTATGCTCACCGTGTCATAATTCGTGTCTGAGCACTTGTACAGGTGCAGGACCGAAAAGTTGTGTGGCTTGCAAAGAAGGTTGGCAAATGCACACAGAGCTCGGGTGTTTAGATGTAAACGAATGCATTGCAAAAAATGATGCATGTAATAGTCACCAGTTTTGTGTGAATAACGATGGCTCCTACACTTGTTTGGAGTGTGACAAAGCCTGCAAAACGTGTAACGGTGATGGGCCTGACATGTGCGATGAATGCGCAAATGGATATTATCTAGAAGATAAAGTTTGCATTGATGAACAGAAAAAAACGAGAGAAAACAAAGTTACAATGGCTAGGTATATTACTTATTTCGGATTGTGCGTTGCTACTTGTATCATTTTTCAAAAGAATACATTGGTTGCCGGTTTAATCGGATTTTCAGTTGCTGTCTATATTTCAGTATCAGAATTAATGCTAGCATCGGAAAAAAATAATAGTAAATCAGATTTTAACATTCAAAATATTTTTAAAATCAGTTAATTATTTTAAACGAATAGAAAACAAATTCAGTATAATAAAAAGCACTTCATTTTACGACATTGAACAAACCAAAGCATTACTATTATTATTATTATATAATTTAATTTTGTTTCTTTTTATTATTTGAATATCTAACTTTCACATTGAAAGTTAGATATTTATATGTAAAAAAAAAAAAAAAATAATAATAAAATAAAGTGCTGGTTACTTTAATATAAATATTTAAATTAAAAAAAAAACAAAACAAAAAAGTTTTTTTTATGTGTACGATTACTTTTAAATAAAATTAAATGAATATTAATAATAATACTTTTTGACGCTTTATTCTTACCTTATTTGTACGTTGTCAGGATTTCCTTTTTTAAATTATAAATTTAATTTTTCCCCATAACTTTAAGCATCCATATTATTAAATAATCTCTTCATTACTATCGAGTTGGACTCGGAAAAACAAAAGGCACAAAAGGTAGTATGTACAAAAATTTAAATTTTTTTACATACATGTTTACCAAGAGAAATTTCTAAATCTTTCCATAACTTGATCTTGAGTTTGTAAATCCATTTGAATTTTTTTTCTCATGTAAAAAATAGGACAATCTCGACTAAAAAAATGAATGCAAATGATTTTATGTAATTTCTCATTACCATTACTATCAACTCGTGATAAAATGATGATGATGATGCTGCAGTAAACTTACCTAGTGCATATAACTTCTTCGTGTAAGCTACCCTGGCATCTTTGACATTCTGTCCATAAACGACTGAATTGACTTTCGTATGTTTTGTACTTGTTCAAATGATTCAAATACAAAGCTATGGCATTTGGTTTGCAGTGTTTGCACAGTGCGTTACTCCCTTCGTTTTCGTTCAGTACCGATTTGCATCCCAAACAGGATTCCTTTTTTTTCGTGAACGCGAACAAAGCACCAACCTTGGACGTGACCATCGCTTTCGTCCTCGTGTGATCACCACCTGTGAATGAATGACGGTGGAAAATCCGATGTGAAAACTTTTCGAAAATTTTTCATCACCGTTTTAAAAATGATAACCTCAACTTACGTAATAAAATCGATTCGGCTTTTTCTCCAAGAATCGGTTCGAATATTCTGAGCAAGGGTTTTGAAATTTGATTCTCCAAATAATAATTAAAATCGATGGGCACGCTATTTTCCAAAACGTATATCGGATCTTCTGCCCTGCAGTAGGCGGGAGTTCCTTTCGTGGCACAACAAATCACGTACGGAACTCTATCTCCCAATTTTGGCGCGGTACCCGGATCTCTTTTTTTCATTTTTTGTGCTAGTTCCACGTGAGCTTGTTTGGCTGCATAATCGTTTTTCGTCAGTTCTTTAGTTATGACCAACTGTGATATATCAATTTTGTTGCACAGAAGATCGGAAATGACTTTTTTGGCGTAATTGACAGCTTCATCGGGATTCCTGGAGTTGCATTAACAAAAAAAAAAAAAAAAAAAAATTTACTATAATACAACAACGATAATTAACGGTACATTCGTAATTAAATTACCTGTTGATGAGAATTTTTTGTAGGCACGTCGTTATCATGTTAGCCACTAATGGAGAATTATCTCTTCTCACGGTTTCCAATCCTTTACAATCCATTTTATCGTAGGTATCGGTTTTTGTGAAATATAATCCGGCGTAACGTTTTTTGCTTATCAACAAATACGGAAAATAAACTTTTTCGAATTCGAGTTTAATTGGACTGATAAACTTCGAAGACACGTAAACAGCCGCTTCCCTTCCCAACTCCATACATTCCTCCAATGTTTTATTCCCGAATTTAATCATGACAGAATCCGTATCTCCGTAAATAACTTCGGAATCGTGTTTGTAACCGTTTGCTATGTTATACTTCATTTCAACTTCTTGTTTTGTTTGTTCAATCATTGACCGTCCGTAAGAGGTAACGCTCTGAATTCAAAAAGTAAATAATTTATGAGGTTTTTCAAAAAAAAAAAAATCATAATTGATACCAGGACTTTCTTATTACTTACACCAGATATTTCTAAACAGGGTAATTTCCCTACTTGTGCTCCAGTGAATCCGTACACGGAATTTGCACTTATTTTAAGAGCCAATTGTCTTCCGTCCAAAACTTGTTTTTTAAATGGATCCGTTTCGTTTTTCAAATCTGTTTTTGCTTTTTTCCTCGCCGTTAGTAAATTTTCCAAAATTTCCGGCAACAATCCTTTTCGAATTGATTTTTTGACGAAAAAATGATTGGACGGAGTGGTAGAATACTTATCAGGTTCCAAACTGTAAAATTTTAAATATTAATTAAGGGACGAGGTAGCTAGCTAGCTAGGTGGGGAAAAGGAACAAAAGGAAAACAAAAATTATTTTAAACGAACTTACTTTAATTTTTCTTTAACCCCGGGTCGAAGTAAAGTTGTGTAACACAAATTATGAGCCATCATTATGCTCGGATACAAAGAACTGAAATCCAAAGTTGCGATCGGATCCGGATAATAACCTTTTTTGGGTTCTATAACTGTTGCACCCTCAAATTGTTCGTCAGATCCAACGCTGTTGTGTGTCGGCATTAAATAATGTTTTTCTTTGGTCTGAAAAAAAAAATAAATAAATAAATGTGCAAGTCAAAATGGCAATTCCAAATAGACAAAAAAAAATTTACCTTTCTGAGAAGTTGAGATACGACTTTAATTTGCTGCCCTCGTGTCAGCAAACATGATAAAGGAACACCCGTTACTCTAGCCATTTCCATATAATTAATAAAACACATTAATTTTTCAATTAGTCTAAGAGGCAAATAAGCATCTTTCAAACAATAAACAGCCAGTCTTCTCCTTGTTTGTTCGTTTCCATTTTGTAAATCGGTTATGATGCTATGATGTACATCTTCCTTTTGCTCTTGCAAAAAATGGTAACTCACGGCATTTAAAGTGTATGAACGAAGTTTGTAATCACGAACAAGAACGAGTAATAAATCAAATGTCACTCTTCCTTCAATATTTGTATTTTTATTTTCTCTCCGTCCGAGTTGCTTACTTTGCAAAACGGAATCTTTAACAACGGATCTGTAAAACAAACAAAATGTAACGAAATCAAATAAAAAAGAGAGGTTAAATAATAATAATAATAATACTTACTTAATGTCTTTGATTCTGCCGAGAAAACAAAAATCATTTACATTTAAATGTTTTGCTCTATTAATTAAATAAGGAAAATCAAAATTGCTTATGTTGTAACCAGTGCAAATATCAGGATCAACTTGTCTAACAAATTCTCCCCAACTCTGAAAAATATTAAACACATTAAATAATTTTAATTCATATGAAAAAAATAATAATAATAATAAAACTTTAATAAAATTATTATTATTACTTTGAGTAGTTCCGTTTCTTTATCAAAACATAAAACTTGAGAACCAACAATTGGAGCACAAGAATTTAATGTAAATATATTCCTAATAAAAGGCTCAGACTGTCCTTGTTTTAAAACCATATTAGCTATTTGTATAACTGGATCATGATTTGGTTCTGGAAATATACCTTTCCGTCCAGCACATTCAATATCGAAACTTAAAATTCTAAAAAGAAAATTTTTTTTATTACATAGTTATGTTTTGACAATAAAGTTAAATTATCATTTATAAATAAAAACAATCAGTCACCTAAAAGGTGCTACTTTACTCCATTCTCCCTCAGGAGCATGAGCGATAAATTGATTCCAACCTACATCAACTTCTAACTGGCATCTTGAAGTAATCGGATAATCATGGTTACTGTCTTTCATTCTTATTTTCCATGTTCCCGGAGGAAGTTCTATCCAGGAGCATCCGACAACATCAGTATCAACCATAAATCTAAAGATATGCAAAAATTTAATGCATGTAAATTATTAATACAATTTAAATGATAAGATTAAAATTTTAATTTGATTCAAATAATAATTTACCTAATGTCGAAATCTATATTAGATTCAAAAAATTGGTAATAATAACCTCCAAAAGCTTTATAAACAGTTTCTTTATCCATTAAACGTTTACATGCTGCTGCTAATTTTGGCAGTATAATTGTTACTTTTAAAAATTTGTTTTTTTTATCTCCTTCATAACCAAACATGTTTTGTTTAAAAACTAATTCAACATCTAATATTGCTTCTTTAATGTTTTCTCTATTCGACCTGATATCATTCATTACAACATCATTTAAAGCTTTCTACAAATTAAATAATAAATAAATTTTTTTTCATTTTTAAAAATAAAAATTATTTTTAGAAGAATAAAAGTATTAAATTACCTTAAAAGGTTTACAATGATCTTCAGTAAAATCAGATGGTACAGAAACATAAAAGTAAGGTGCAAAACCATGAACATGACAACATACTGAATTCCCTTCCATAGTGACACCATACATTCTCATGATTGATGATGGAGATACCTGATATCCAGGCATACCAGGAATCGGGGAACCTAAAACATAAAATATTAAGCATTGATATTAGTTGATTAGGGAAATAATACTGTTTAAAAAATTTTTAGAAGTAATTATATGAAATTACCATGATAATGGTCAATTTCGATTTGTTGAAAAATTAATGATTCTTTATCAGGATTAAACTTTGGTAGTGGAGGTCTACACCATCTAACACTGGTTTGTTCTGTGTCTGGCCCAACACCTATTTCAGGAGTATCCTCCGTCAAGAAATCATTTTCTGTAAGCTCCATAGCAGCTAAATCACTTTCAAAAGATCCTGAATACCCATTATCCTCCCCTGACCTATAATTGAGTAAAAACCTTGTTTATAAAGAAAAATTTATCTTTTCTAAAAATGAAGCCTCAAATTCTCAAATCTAATTACAAAAACTAAATACTATAACTAATTTTATATTGTAAAAAATTGTTCGAAAAAATTATTGTCAAAATCGAGTATAGAATGTACGTAAAAAGCTTACTTTGATCGTTTTAGAAACTTGTTATGATTTTCAGAAAAATTTTTTCTTTTATTCTGACTCATTTTATTCTTTATTTTAAATTATTGACTTCACTCGACTAGTATGACACGAAGAATGATTGCGTTCCATACGTACTTCATAAATTTTACCGCCAGTTATAAAGAACGTGTCTTTAGACGATTTTTAAATTACGACATCTCATTTGTTAAAGTATTTACTCATACTTACCTAGCAACTATAATTAGGAATGGAAGACAGTCAAGTGAGAATTGATGGTCGGTTAATAGACATAGCAGACAATGCATGGAGAGAAGAAAAATTACCAAAAGATCTTATAGAAGTTCCTCCAAGTGAATTGCCGGATCCTGAGGCCGACAACGGAGATTCTCATACTACAGTTAAAGAGCAAGAACAAAAGTGGGCAGACTTGGCTCTAGGAACTTTAAGTGGGCAAAATTAATGTATAATTTTTATTTGTAAAATGGAATTTCCAAACTTGGGAGAAAATTGTTCTTGGCCTCTTTGTAAAGCTTTAGATTTTCTACCAGTCATATGCTCAAGTTGTAACAAAAAATTCTGTAAAGAACATTTTAATTATAATTCACACGATTGTAATGCAGTAAATAAAAATTTTGATAATAATCAGAAACCTGTTAAATCGTTCAAATGTTCAAATGAAAAATGTGAAACGTACGATCCAGTTGAAATGAATTGCGTTAAATGTAAACAACACTTTTGTCTGCAACATAAATTTCACAATTGTTTCGATGTTGTTCTAAATGTTGAAGAAAAAAAAAAGGAATGGAATCAACCCAAAGAACAATTTTCTAAATCTCTGGTAGTTGCACAAAAAACTGTGAGTTCTTTACTTTCATTACTTATTTATCATTATTATTATTATTATTATTTATAAAATGACAATCTTACAACTTTATATGTAGGTCAATGAAAAAATTCAAAAAGCAATGGATAATCCCAAAAGGCAGGCTACAGCTATGAAAATTCAACTAATGAAATTAAAAGCGAAAGCAATAGGAATGGCTACAATTCCAGCAGTGAAAAGAATTTACTTTTTAATTATATTACCTAAAAGTTTAAATAAACCATCGAAACCTGTTTTTGTCAGTAAAAATTGGAGCGTTGGTAAAGTGATCGATTCGGCATCCACTATTTGTAATGTCGTTAATAAAAACAATGAATTCAACGAGCCTAAGTTGAGGCTGTTTAAAACAAACGGACATCAAATTTCATCAGATGTAAGTTCTATTATTTCCGATTTGATAGAAAATAATTTCATTGTCGATGGTGAAACATTAATATTAGAATATGTCGATTCTACTGAAGATATATCAAATTATATTCTCAACGATTGTTCATGTTACAGTGCATACGATTTCAAAATTAATTTTATTAAATGATTAAACAATCGAGCAACACCTAACAAATGATAAAAAAAAATTTATTAACTTAATATCAATAATATACATAATACAGAGATTTACCAAAAAAAAAAAAAAAATTATACTTTTCCCTTATGTTTACCTTTCCCCTAAAAATCATTCAAGTTTTAGGAATTAATTTCCATTTAAGTTCAACGTTTGGACGTAGAATAACATCAGGTACAGGTTTAACAGTTTTTCTCGAATTGATAGTTTTTATTTTATATTTTCTTAAAATATATGAAGATAATACGAGCATTTGAAGCATGGCATATTTTTGACCTGTAATAATTATTATTATTATTATTATTATTATTCCATTCCTGTTTTTCTTTATATTTTTGTAAATACGATTCGTGGAAGGTTTATGATTCACCTAAACAATTCCTTGACCCGGCACTGAACGGTATGAATGCAAATGGATTTCTTTTTTTTAAAACATCTAATTTAAATCTATCCGGATCGAATTTATCAGGTTTTGGAAATATATTTGAATTACGATGAATTATAAATATCATCAAAACAATTTCCGTATTCGCTGGAATCGTGTAATTCTCTATAAAAAAAAAAAAAAACTTTAAAGCAAATATTTGTATTTTTAAATAAATAAATTAATTAATTAATAAAAAATGTGTAAATACTTAAACGTATGTCGACATCGAATTTTCTAGATATTACAGGTACGCTTGGATATAATCTTAAAGTTTCTAAAATTACTCTTTTTAAATACTCCATTTTTATTATATCCTCATACGTCGGTTCCCGATTCGAATCCCCGAAAATATTTTTCAATTCTTCATGAACTTTATTTTGAATTTTTTTATTTAATCCCAATTCGAAAAAACACCAATTTAAAGCAGTAGACGTTGTGTCGTGACCCTAAAATAATAATAATAATTATATATGAAATTAAAATATAAAAAGTTTCAAATTGTATTTAAATGTTAAGGGAGGGGAAGGGGGAGAAAGAGGGGGAGGGATCTTACAGCCATTAATATAGTATCGACTTCGTATCGTATATCGACATCGGAAAATTTATAAATTTTTTGCTTTTCTAATAGTAAATTTAAAAAATTCATTTTTCTTTCGCCACCGCCATTTATTTCGAATGATTCTCGTTGATTTTCCAACGCCATTTTCTTTTTCCTTTCTTGTATTATCTAAAATATTTTTAACGTTTACTCTTTGTTGTTAATAAAAACAAGGCCGATGATTTCGTTATTATTTATTTACATTTGTCGTAGTTTCGTGAAGAATTTTAAGTAATTTAGAATTTTCTCTTCCCAAAGAACTTAAATTAAATAAATAATCCGCGTAAAGGTGGGGAGAAAATATTCTTTTGACAATTATTTGTCCGATTCTAAATATCGCTTTCACATAATCACTTTCCGTTTTATTTATTTGAGAATTAATACAGGTTCCCATTGAAGTTTCTGGAAGAAAAAAAAAAATATAAGTAACGAACGTATTTAGAAATAATAATAATAATAATAATAATAATAATATTTACCGTAAATGCTATCCAAAGCGCAATAAGTTATAAAATTATTAAGGTGGAAAAATTTTTTAATATCACATCGCGATAAATTATACATCATAACCGTTGAATTTTTAGAAAAAATTTCCAAATATTGTCGTAATATTGAAAAATGAAAAGCGGAAGTTATTATTTTTCTCATAATTTTCCATTTTTTTCCAGAACTTGTTAATAATCCCGTGCCGAGCCAGGGTTTTAAATTATCGTATAAAATCCCTTTTTTCTGATCGTTTTCATTACATAAAATCATCTAAAAAAAATTTTTATTGTTTTTTTTTTTTTTTTTTTTTTTTTTTAACAAAACAATAATAAATAAATGATAACAAAAACGAATTTTATTATACCTTTACGTCATCAACATCCGAAATCATAACAACAGCAAAACCGTTAAACCAATATTTATACGTCGGACCCCAAATTTTAAATTCTTTTATTAGGTAAGGTAATAAATCTTTTTTAAATAAAAAAATCATTTATTAATTTTATTAATTTTAATAATGTAAATAATAATAATAATAATAATTTACCTTCGGTATTAATTTTATAAAATTGTAAAATGTTACCAAAATAAAATACACCACGTGGCCCTGGAATTTTTTCAATTTTTTTAACGTAATCCGGAAAATTATATTTATGATAAAAAAACAAATGAAAAATAAAACAAAAAATAAATAAAATAATTATTAATAAATAAATAAACATTTTTTTTTTTATAATTAAAACAATAATAATAATAATAATAATTTTTTGTTCACGATGTTGATTTATCGATTGACAATCATCGATTATTTTTAATTCTCTCTAAAAAAAACTTATTTATTTATTTTTTTGATTTTACCACCGATCATCATCATCATTATTTATTATTAATATTATTATTATTATTTACCCAAGAGGAATTTAATAAAATCAAAATAAACAAACGAAAGAGCTATGAATATAAAATATAAAATAAAAAATTATTATTATTATTATGATTCAATCAAGTGCTTGAGTCCAAAAAAATTTTTTTCCCCCCTCCTCCTCTCTCTCTCTCCCCCCCAATTTTAATTCGAAAAAAAAATATTTTAACCTTTCTCTCATTCTCTCTCTCTCTCTCTCTCTCTCTCTCTCTCTCTACTCCTCCAAGTTTAATTACTTTTCTTTATTTTCTTACTCCTTCTTCCGTGAATTGCGTGTTTTTATTTTTATTTTTTTTGCATGATGTTTTTTTTTTTTTTAAAAAATAATTTCAAATTAATTATTATTATTATTATTTTTTTTTTTTTTTTTTTTTTTTCATTTCTCACCATCTATAAAAATTTTTTTTTTCTGGATACTTAACATAATAATAAGAATAAGGATAATGAAAAAAAAAAGGAAGAAATAAAACTTATCGATTTTCTGTCGTGAGTGTAAAACTGTGTCAAAAAAAGGTACAAACGCGGTTCTGTACAATCAACAAAACCACACAGATAGAACAAACAACAAACCGGAAATCAGTCTCTAACATAATGCTGAAGGGGGTGTAAATCCGTACCGGCGGAAAAAAACACCAGACAGCCAAAGAGGTGGGTAAAAGTCTGAAATAACCAGGATGAAGGGAGTAAAGACAGAAACTATGCAGATCATCGTGGGAGCAACAGTGGGAGCCATGCCATCAAAGGAAAGTAGAAGAAGAAACCCCTACCGGAAGTAGAACCCCCGACATTCTTCGACAGCACCACCGAACAATTATTCTAAAGGAATCGAGGGGTAGAACCTGAAATAAATTCTTTAAAACCTAGATAGGTATTTAAAACCTTATCGTGTTCGAAAGTGATGATGATAATAATAATAATAATAATAATAATAATTTAAAATTCAATCGAATTTAAACCCGCATTAAATTTTTTTTTTATTGTCTGCAAAGAGAAATTTTTTCAATACAAACAAATTAATTAAATTCATAGACACGAACGTATTTTTTAAAAATAAATAATAATAATGATAATAATGATAATAATAATAATAATAATAATGATAATAATAATAATAATAATTGATTTGGGAGTTTAAATATTTTAATTTCCCTCCGTCGGTAAATAAATTTTTTTTAAATTAAAAACGTTTTTCAAACCGTGAAATTATTATTAAAATGGCGACCTTAATAATTTTAATTATATTTTCGTATTATACCTTTTACCCAAAAAAAACTTTTTTAACTCACCTTTTTCGAAAAGGTTAAAAGGGCAAACAAAAACAAAATCAATATAAATTACTCAACCGATAACGTTAAAAAAAAAAAAAAAAAGATTTTAATGAAAGCAAATGAATCAAATATTTATATTTTATCTATCACCTTAACGAACGCAAAAGAAAAGGTTGCCCATAATAATAATAATAATAATAATGATAAAATCAGGTCGATGTAAACTGTAATTTTTTCCATTAAAAAAAAAAAAAAAATTTTTTTTTAAAATTAATTTTTGTGATTTCGTGAATGCATAATTAAATAAACGAACAAATAAATTATCATCAATAATTCAAAAATAACAAAGTTCATTAAGGTATCAATCGAGAACGATATTAATAATAATAATAATAATAATTTTTTTTACGGTTAATATCAACATAATTAGAAAATCAATACCTCCCTCCCTCTCTCCCTCCCTTTCCCCCCGGAAAAAAAAAAACAAAAATGGCAGCGATATATAATTAAAATTAAATTTTTTTCCGATTATTTTTGTTTTTTTTTTTTTTTTTGAAAAAATAAATTAATTATTAAATAACCTCTGACCTTTTTATCAATTTAAATTTTAAATTTTGATGAGGTCTCAATATCATTTCAGGTACGACTCTAATTGAATTTCTATCGTTGAGTGATTCAATTTTAAAATTACGTATTATTGACGATAGCACGACAAGTTCTTCCAACATGGCGAATTTTTGACCTTGAAAAAGAAAACAACAAAACTTTAAAAAAAAGAAAAAAACCTTTTTTTTTGTGGGGGGTATATTTTGTGGTATTCATACTCACCGATACAATTCCTTTGTCCGGCACTGAATGGTACGTATGCAAACGCGTGCCTTTTTATAATTTCTTCCTGAAGGAATCGATCGGGATCGAATTTATCGGGATTTTTAAAAATTTTTTCGTTTCTCTGTATCGCGTATAAAATTAATATTATTTCCGTGTTTGCCGGCACGAGATAATCATCTGAAAAAACAAACGAATTACAACGTGCTGGGGGGATGGGGGGTGGGGGTGGAGAATCTCGGCGACATTTTTTAATTTTTTCGTTATTTACGCTCACTTAATTGCATGTCGACTTTAAATTTTCTAGAAATTACCGGAACGCTCGGATACAATCTCAATGTTTCTTGTATTACTCTTTTCAGGTAATTCATTTTCATTAAATCGTTATAACTCGGCAACTCGTTCGAATCACCGAATATTTCTATCAATTCGGAATAACAACGTTCTTGTACTTCCGGATGATGACCCAATTCGAATAGGGTCCAAGTTAGGGATGCTGCAGTCGTATCGTGTCCCTAAAATATTTTTTAAAAATTTAATCAAAATGTCTTTCGAACAAACAAACAAACGAACAAACAAAAAAATGTCATTTACTTCAAACATAAAAGTATCCACTTCCTGTCGAATGTCTTCGAATGATAAACAATGAATTTTTTGATTTTCTAATAAGATATCAAGAAAAGATGATTTCGTTTTGTAAACGTTTCCGGTTTTCTTTTCAACTCTACCGCCACTTTTTTCTTTTATCAAATTCATCATCTTTTCATTTATGATCTATAAAATTCATTTTAAATAAAAATTTTTTTCTTTTTAAAATATTGGCTGGCGTTGTAACAAAAAAAAACTCGCCTCGTATGTAAATCCGTGAAGTATTTTTAACAATCTAGAATGTTCTAAACCTTTAAGGCTAAACATAAAACTCATGTTTGTGAAATGTAAGGGTGAAAACATTCTTTCGACGACAATCTGTCCCATTCTAAATATTGCTTTTACATATTTGCTCTCACTTCCGGTCCTTAATGCGTTTATTGACGTACCCATTGCAGTTTCTAAAAAACAAATTTTCTTTTCACTTTAATACTTCCGGTAGGGGGGAAAAAATTTTTTTTCTTTTGTTGGCAACACTTTACCGCAAATGTTATCCAAAGTGCATCGCGTCAAATATTTCGACAAATCACATTTTTTTCCCTCGTCATCATCCTTTTTTTTTTTTAAAACATCCAACATTATTTTTGTATTTTTATTAAAAATTTCGATGTAATCGCAAAGTACGGTAAAGTGAAAAGCCGGAGTGATTATTTTTCTCATCTTCTGCCATTTTTCACCGCAACTCGTCAATAATCCGCAACCGAGCCATGGCAATATATTCCTATACAGCATCCCTTTTGCGTTTGCTTCGCGACTCGATAAAATCGTCTGCAAAATCACGTGCGTGCGTTCGTTTTCGTAAATTTAAATTTAAAAAATAACAATAATAATAATAACCACACACCTGAACGTCTTCCAAATCCGAAACAAAAACTACTGCGACTCCACTGTACCACAACCTGTAAGTCGGTCCCCATTTTTTAAAACCTTCAATTAAATCGTAAAGTATTTCTAATCGGGAAAAAACAATTTTATTCATTAAATCCAATACAAACGAATTCGAAAACATGGAAAATAATAATAATAATAATAATTTTTTTACCTTCGTGTTTGAGCCGGTAAAATTTCAATGAAGAACCGAAATAAGAATGAGATACCGGTCCGGGTATTTTATTAATTAAATTAACGTATTTAGGTAAATGATACTCGTGATATATAAACAAATGAAAAATAAAAATTAATATAAATAAAATTATTAACGATTCAAACATTTCAATAAAACATTTCCTCACAAAGGAATAAAACAGAAGACAAAAAATACGATTCGAACAAACTATTTTATAGATCGATCGGGGATATTTTTTTTAAATACCGTAATTATTATTATTATTATTATTATTATTATTTTATAATTTTCATTTTTAATTGGTTAATTGTGTTCCAAGGTTTTTTTCTTTTTAAATTCAATAAACAATATTTAATAGTAAATAAATATTTTTTTTTAAAAATGTATCCACGTGTTACGTCTACCACCACCCGAATTTACGAATTCCGCCATATTTTTAATAATTGATTTTTGTTGTAATTAAAAATTTTTTTTATTAAATAAATAAATAAATAATTTAATTATTCATTCATTTCAAACAACTTTCGGGGGTATCGTTTAAATAATAATAATAATAAATTAAAATTTTGTTTATTTGTTTTTTTTTTTTTTTCTCAACGTAATTCATAATTTTGTCGTCGTGATTTTTAAACGTTTACCATTATTATTATTATTATCATCATCATTAAAAAAATAAATAAATTATGTTATTGTAATAATAATAATGATAATAAATGACAACAAAGACAAATCGAAATTCGTTTTCCAAACGCTTTTTGTTATTTTTTTTATTTAATAATAATAATTTAATTTATTTAATAATAATAATAATAATTATTGGGTTTTGTATTCGGGGGTTGTCCCCGGTCCGTTACGTTACATTAATTATTGTTTGTTTGTTTGTTTGTTTGTATTTTCACTCAATATTAAAAAAGAAATTTTTTTTTTACATAAGTCGGCAAAATAACTATTTTGAAATTTCTTTTTTTTTTTTTTGTAAATTATTTAAACATTACAACTACTTATTATTTATAATTACAACAGCAATTACTGTGGCAAGTTGTTCTGTTTGTTTCGTTTGTTTAGTTGCATGTTTTATTAGATTTTTTTTTTTTGCTTAAATAATTTTTTTTTAATATTTTGCATAAAAAAGAAAAATTTAAAACCGACATTTTTTTTTTTTTCTTAAGTAAAATAAATAAATAACAATAAAGTAAAATATAAAAAAACAAACAAACGAACAAACAAACAAAAACAAAAAAAAAAAAAATTTTCAATAATCAATCAATCAATCAATTATTAATTATTAATTTTTTTTTTTTAATCTTTTACCTAAATAATAGATAACATGTCTATATAAAAGAATATCAATATTATTATTATTACAGTTCGATTTAAACTTTTTACGTACGCGAAGTCGAAAATTATTTTCATTCATCCTACGGATCAAGTAATAATAATAATAATTATAATTATAATAATAATATGAAAAAAAAATTTTCCATTTTCATCATTTTCATTTTAACGATATCTACCGTAGAATGTAAGTAAAAAAAAAAATTTTCATCGAGAATTTTCCAAAAAAAAAAAAAAAAAAAAAATAAGTGACGTAATTTTTATAATTTTAAGAACTTTTAGTTCAATGAGGGATAATATCATTATTATTATTATTAGAAATTATTATATTTTATTATATTTGACTACATGTAACACGTTTTTAGGTGAATAATAAGATAACCCATTTTCATTATTATTATTATTATTATTAATTTAAATTTTTTTTTATCGATAAGTTACGTTTACTATTATAATCAATGATTAAAACCAAGGTTTTTATGAGAGGGAGGGAGACGGGGGAATTTTTTTGAGGTTACGCCGATATGATTTGCTGTTGAAAAAAAAACAAATAATAATAATAATAATAATAAGCCAACGGCCATAGCGTGCTGGTCACACCGGTTCCCGTACGATCACCGAAGTTAAGCAGCATCGGGCGTGGTGCAAACTTGGATGGGTGACCGTTTGAGAACGCCACGTGCTGTTGGCTTAAAAAGAGCAAAAAAATGAGAACAAGACAAAAGTAAGAACCAAAAACAAAATCTTGTTCTACTGTCGACCTGAGGCAGCTCGACGAGAACGTGAATTTCACTGCTTCTGACCCTGGCCACTCCAAAGATGTTAGTCACCGGAGCCCAGTTCAGGAGACAAATCGTTCCCATCGAAAAAGACGGACTCACGAAGACCTTCAAGAATTGATGTGGTGCTATCTTATAATAAGTGGCACCACCGAAATTC